ATATGAAAGAACAGTCTTCATGTGTATTGCACTGCAAAAAGATATATTCTCATGAATTCATTTTATTCTTCATGAAGTGCTAAGACTGTACTACAGTCTCATACTACATAAAGCACATATTGACTGTTCTTGGTCTGAGAAGTTTAGTCTAAATACAGCCGGCCAGCACAACCTAGTATATCAAAAAATATTTTCTAGAAAATCAGTTGTTTAGAGACAGCAATGTGAAGCAGCAGAGATATACCCAGAAGAGCCATATAATTCAGAGTATTTTAATTAGAAAGTTTCATTTCCATACTGACATAGTGACATACAATTGGCATAACATTACTGTTTCTGGTACAGTGTAGCCAAACTGTTCTGATGTGTAAGCTACACAGTGATTAATCTGAAGCTCCTGACTGGAACTTAATGGCTGCAGTTAAGCCTCGCTGTCACTATCTGTTTGCATGCAGTGTTGTTGCAGCTGTGTTGGTCCCGGGATATTAGAGAGACAAGGTGGGTGAGGTAATATTTTATTGGATCAGCTTCTGTTGGTGAAAGAGACAAGCTTTCAAGCTTACACAGAGCTCTTCATGTGAGAAGATTAGAAGGACCCCTTACAATAGTTATAAGGGTAGTCATGTGTAAATGGATATGATGAATTGGCAGGAGTGACAGCCAAGGAAGACATGAGTAGCAATTTGGGGCCAAAGTGAACACAATTTGCCTCAGTTCAACTTTTGTACAAGAAAACTAGATCTGATGGAAGTCAAACTATCCACTGCCAGAAAAGCCTTGCTTTCCACATAAAAAATGACCCACAGGAGGGAGTGTCAGTTTACTCTGTACCCATTGATAGAAGATCCCAGACGGAAATATGAAAACTATATACCATTATTTCCACTCTGGTGGACCCTATTACTTTTAAACTTGAAACAATACTTGAAACTTTTCATGCTACATGTTCACAACTAGCTGCACTCATTACTTTGTTGGGATCCTTATGAAAGTTGAAATACTCTGTGGCAACAGGTCTCACTTTGGCCACCACCATAAAGCAAGTGGACTAGACATTTATATTTATACCACCTAAAATCTATTTTTTCTGGATTAGACAAACTAATTACATCCTATTTAAATGATGTTAGGCATAAATGGGCACCTATGCATCATGTCAACAGGTGCATTATAAATATCTTGATGGAAATAACTAGCTTGTTATTTGCGTTAAAAAATGCTGTTGAAACCACTTAAGGAAGGAAGGATTTATAGATGTGGACAAAAAGTTTCCCTCTCCCATCCTTCAAAGACACTGCAAAAGTATTAATAGATGACAGAGGTGGCACGGTTTTTGAGACTATTTCCTAAATATTCTTCCCTCAGAAAACAATTTAAATCACCACTTAATACAAGGATTTATTCATATTATATAAATAAATAAATAAAATACTGTGGATTTTTTGGTATTTACTGCAGTACAGGGGGTTCCTGGTACATGTCTCCTCTTCATCTGTTGTTTCGCGTATCCGTCGCTCATCAACAGGGGAACATGTTCCGATTCACGTCGGTCCCGATCCGCATATCCGTTGCTTCACCTTTTGTGTGTTTTTTCTGTGGGTGCTTAGCATCCACCGGCAGCCAGCGTCTGACAGCGCCTCCCGTCCGCCAGTGGCCATGTGGGCCGCCAATCAACTCCTCCCCCTCCCTCCCAGCGCCTCCTGCACACCGTGAAACAGCTCTTCTCCAGTATGCGGAAGGCGCTGTGAGGGGGGGGGGGGAGGAGCAAGGACAGGGTACACTCAGAGGAGGGGGCAGAACTGGGCAGGAAGAGGCGAGGTGGGGCAGGCCATTATTTCTTATGGGGAAAAATTCCCCAGTATCCGTCATTTCGGTGTCCGTCGCCCTTTTCAAGAACGCAACCCTGACATATACCAGGGGCCCCCTGTAGTGTCCAACCACCCCAATTAAGATCGGGGTGCCACATTTTGCTACCATGCTGCACAAGAGCATAGAGAGACAGTACCCTGCCCTAAAAAGAGTTTGCAGTCTAAACTGTATGTTTATTAATCCCCTGAATCCAGAAGGTCAGAAGTTTACTAACACTCAGACCAGTTTTGTTTCAACATGTCACTGGAACATGCTGACATTAGAAAAGTGTCCAGATATATTTGCTGAAGTCAGTGGAAGTGTGTTTTTGTAGTTTACAATCCTAAATGTGCTTTCTATGTGTAATGAAGTATTAACTCCTCCTATCAAAAATCCAGCAGTTCTGTATTACATGTGTCACAAAAAAAACCCCCAATTGTTTACTTCTGGATTTGGTGTCTAAGCATACACCACATCCCTGTTGGATTCAAATTTTGAAACTAGCTATTCTGTTTAAATATCACTGACAAACTAAATACAGACACCATTCCAGTTTTCTATACCTCACTCAATTACAATCCATAGACAATCTACATACTGTAGTGCAAGTAAAGAATATATAAAAAGAGTTGACATTTTTTAGAAAATACCTATTATAATGAGGTTCTACAGTAGAACCTCAGAATTACGAACACTTTGGGAATGGAGGTTGTTAGTAACTCTGACATGTTCGTAACGCTGAACAAAACATGGTTGTTCTTTCAAAAGTTTACAACTGAACATTGACTTAATACAGGTTTGACACTTTACTATGCAGTAGAAAAATGATGCTTTGCTTTTTTTTAAGTAGTTTAATGTTTAACACAGTACGTACTGTATTTGCTTTTTTTGGTCTCCGCTGGTGCCTGATTGCATACTTCTGGTTGCAAATGAGATGTGTGGTTAACTGGTCAGTTCATAACTGGTGTTCGTAACTCTGAGGTTCTTCTGTAGTGTACTATTTATTTTAAAAACAAATCCCTATTAATCTTCTACAGCTTCTCTTCAATTTAATTGAGCTTCTCAGATGGATGGGGATGGGTAAGCGTAAGGTCCTGATCACAATTTCATATAATCCACATTCTCGCCTATGAACAAGAATCTGAGAAACTTGAAAACCAGGCTTCTCACCAAGGCAGGCAGTGAGTTATACTAATAACAGATAACGTAAATGGCTTCTGAACTGCCAGCACCATAACCACTCTCTCCTAGTCATTTAACAAACATCTAGAGGAACAAGAGGCTTGGGAGAAACCATAACTCTTACAGTTTAGCCGCAACAAGTATTTATTTCATCACCTTTTTGGCAGTGATCTATGGACATTTTGACATAATTAAAGACTCAGGACTAAAAAGGCTCCAGTCACTGCAGATTCATCTTGTGAAACTTTGGTTTTTGTTGTTTATTTTTTTTGTAGGGAGAGGAGAGAAGTGGAAAAAGGGAAGAAGAATGGGCAGATGAAAGGAGTCTCAAGTTACTCAGACTGGTCTGATCCTGAACCTCCCCGCCCACACTTCTGATAGGTTCTCTCCCAATAGGGTACTGTTGGAGCACAGACTTTTGTTCCTGCCAGACAAGCCATCTTAAAAAATTGTTGAAGCTGCTGCTCTCACTTTGCCCAGAGAGCTAAAGACTAGAAGTTGTCTTGAGCGTCAAGGTGACAAGAGTCATTTTAAAGAATTCTTATGTTTGAAACTGCTTGATCTAGTGTTTAAGAAGATGAGGAACTAGAACTGTCTGACAGAAGAAGTAAAGTTTTGACTGAACTGCCAGACCACAAGTTATTTAGCTAGCATTGGTTCAGCTAGAATAAGTCTACTGGAAGAGCCTAAACAGAAGGGATTTCTATTATTTGTACTAAAGTAGCCGATGGAGAATTTAATGGAGATTGAGACTCTGTTATGCTAAGTGAGGTATATACATGTAGTAAGAGCCCCAGCATTGAGGGGGTTACAGTCTAAACAGATAAAATTTCTAGGGAGCACGGGGAGAACACATATTTTACCCCCAATTTACAGAAAGGGAAACTAAGGCTCAGAGAAATTGTGTGACATTAGGGAAGTCACTTGAAGTCTGTAGCAGGGCAGGAAATTGAATCCACAACTCAGAGTCCCAGCCTAGGGCCTTAACCACAAAACCTGCCTTCTTCTCTGGTGCACAGGAAAAAAAAACAGTCTTATGAGCAGAACAATCCAGTGCAGAAGACATACTACAAATGGGATATTAGCAATATCTGTTCCAATAGGAGGGCTTCAAGATGCCATGTATCTTCAGTGGCAGAATACAAACTGGAAGCTGTAGTTGAAGCACAGTGCCATTGCTAACTTCTTCCTTCAAACTAGCTTTTATTTCACTCTAACTAGCAAGAAAGAGGCAGAGACTCCAGATGGATTTGCAGATCCAATGAATAAATCTTTTCTGTAAGAGGTTTATATTTCTACTTGAGACAGAAAAATAATTGAAGTTTCAGCACTCTCTAGGAACCTGTCTGCAATAATGCTGTAAGGCAGTGGTTAAAGTACATCACTATAAGAAGGGGCACCCATTGGCAGATGTCAGCACAGGGGAAAATGAGTTGTATTCAAAAGGGATATACAGGCCCATAGTCAGCCAAACCAGTATGTTTATGTTTGAGCCCATGTATGTGCAGGCACGTCTGGCATCTTCCACCCCAATTTCTACCAAGAGAGAGAATCTCCTGTCTTGTGTCTTCACATTATATTAATTTTTCTAATGAAATAATACATCTAGAGAAGTTAGTGTATCACATGACCACAAAGCTACAAGTATATTACAAACAGGGCAACCTATTACAAATAGATTATAAATTCAACTAGGTTAGGGAAAATGATATAGTCCACAATAGTCACTTGATCCCACAAATTGCTTGTAATTCCTGATTTACTCATTCTTTCTTCCAGATCTGAAAACCAGATGATTATAGCAACTCAGCAGTGAAATATCAGTTTTCAAATTTCTTGTCTTTTGGGTGCACATTATTTAGATTTTTCACTTTCAGCAAATAATTCAGGAAATTAGTGTGTGAGTATGTCACATACACACACACGGAGGAAAAAAGCATAAGACCCCACAATATGAGATTAGTACTTACTATTCCAGAACTAAGATGATCTCTGTTGCAGTCTCATAAACTTCATGTAAATTAATGACCCAAAGGTTGCATTGTGCCAACTCAAGGACAGCTATCTCATGGATTATTTCCATTCGACAGTCTTGGCCCTTTCTTCTTTTTCGCATGAATTTGGCTGCAAACTCCTTTTCTGTATCTTTCTTGACACACTTCTTCACCACTGCAAACTTCCCTCTGGAATTAAAGCAAAATATTAAATCAGATGGATGATCCTTAATTTAAGTATTAAAATCACTAGTCAAATTTTAATATTTTAGAAAACTCAAAAGAAACTACAGTGGGAACATTTAGAATATGTTCCAAATTTAGAGTTTTTACCCTGTATCAGTGATATTCCCTACATTTAAAACAGGGGATACTGCTGGAACCAGTAACACCTCAAACTGGAATATATTTTAAGTTTATTCACTGTACCATAATGTATCCACAAAAATTTAGCCCTTCAGTAGAGGAAAAAAAAATTCAGGAAGTGAAGGTTACTTATTTGTAACCAGAGTTCTTCAAGATGGCTCTGCATATTCCACTTATATGTAGTGTGCCACACAAAGATGCCTAACGGGAGAACCATCTCCAAGCAGTGTCTGTTAAAGTGCTTGTGCTCTTATTCCCCCCCCCCCCGCCCCCAACCCCAGCATCCCTGAATGTTCTGAAGCAAGGCTATGTAAGGAGGCACAGTGCCCTCTACCATCTCATCTCTTTCCACCACCAAGCCAAAAATACAGAACAAAAAGACGGGGGGGCGGGGGGGAGGGACGTATGAGTATACAGAGCCATCTCAAAGAACACTGAACTGACCTTAATTTCTGCTTTGAGTAGTTCTGCATATTCCCACTTATGAGTAGTAGGATAAGTAATACTGAAAATAGCCTGGAGGAACCAGAGCCTGAACTTAATAGAAATTGAAAAACTACTCTATCAAATCTAGCATCAGCCCCTGAAGCAGGGGTGCACAATAATTTTCGCCGGGGGGGGGGGGGCACTCCATGAATTTTGGTAAGTCGTCACAGACCACACATTTCTACGGTATTAACGGAGTGAGTACCCCCATTTGTTGTGTTTTACAGCGGCTGTGTTTTACATCACTACTTGAACACGTATGTGAGGGAGGAACAACGTGAGGGCCAGACAAAGTTTCTCTTAACTCCAACATGTTTATGTGCAAGCCCCTCTACTGAGAAACCCAGTGATCTTCAAACTGTACAATGACTCAGTTGTGCCTATCCCCCCAACCATTGTTTGACACATCTGAAGTTACCCTCACTGATGGCGAAGGGGGATTGAACTGGAAGTCTCTGAGGACATTAGCTCTGACTGCCTACCACATCAGCGAGTCTGGAACATTTCAAGAAATGTTGACTAACATTTGAAGATGGTCTCAGGTCAACGAGCCAAATCTGGACATCCAATGATGCACTGGCCTAATTCCGAGACACTCAAGGAGATTCACACAAGTAGTAGCAGCCATGAGACTCAGAAAGAAAGTTACTTTGAGTTCTGACATATTTGAAAGTTTAAAATATACTGCACTATTTAAAAACACCTGTCCTGTGGTAAAAAGGCTTTTCTGAGTCCAATATGGCACCTAAAGAATAAAATGTTGAGTTGAACGGATTCAACTTGACATTCAGTAGTTATTCCAGGTCTGAAAAAAAGGGCGATTGTATAAGTGATATGGCTTAATATATTTTTGTCAACAGCAGCCTTCAACAGTCAATCATCCAGATATAGGTAAACAAAAATCTCCTGCTTTCTCAGCTGAGCTATATCACAGAGAGGCAATTTGTACAATACTCTTGGTGCTATGGACAGGCCAAATGGGAGCGCCTTGTACTGGAAATGGTGTCCTGCCACCACAAAACAAAGGTACTTTTGATGACTGTCTGACAGAAATATGAGAATATGCATCCTTCTGATTAAGAGTCGCAAACTAATCCACAGTTAAAGTGAACGGATTATAAAGGTCAGAATTAACATACAGAACCAAAGCTTCTAAATATATTTGTTCAAGTTCCTTAAATCTAAAATTAGATTAACTCCTTCCTCCCCTCACCCCCTGCATTCTTCTCCTGTACTACGAAGTATCGAGAATAAAACCCCTGACTCCTCAAGGTGTTTGGACACCTCCCTGACAGCCCCTATCAGAAGCAATTTCTGCACTTCTGAAAGTAGAACAGCGTTGTGAGAGGGTTCCCTGAAAGGGAGAGGTAGGGGGAACTGAAAGTGCGTAGTTTCTCATACTGAATATAATAGCCCTTTTCTGTAATTTCAGGGATGTAATAAACCTCCATTTGCTGATAAAAATGGACTAGCCTGTCTCCAAACAGAGGAAGGGAAGGATCCTTGCTGATTGGTTCTCAATTCTCAATCCTCACATCAAATCTGAGGCTTGGTGTTCAATGAAGATGACAGGGAGGAAGCAGATTGTTGAGATTTAGGACTGATTTGAAAGACGACTTCTTCTGGTGGCTCTGGAAAGTCACAGCCTGCTGATAGTCTTCCTTGATTTATTTCTTGTCAAATCAAAGAAGATATGGATAATACTGTCTCTAATAATGGGAAGAAAGAGTAGGAAGTCTTCCAGTAGAAGGAATCAAGCCTAAAGAACAGAGCATTGATCTTGTCTCCTTTAGCTTTTCCAGTAATTCATGTCTTTTCACTGACAAGACCATCCCTATCAAAGGCGAGATCTTCCACCTTAATTCTAGTATCCAGAGCCAGAAGAGAGGAGAGAAGCCAAGCATGTCTCCTCTGAGTAACTACAGAAATCAATGTTCTAGCAGAAGAGGCCGAGGTGTCAAACGAAGCCCTGAGAGCATACTTAGCCACATTTTGACCCTCCATTTGGATCACATTTGCCAACATCCTTTTATTATCTGGCAAATCTTGTACAAACAATAGCATAATTTCCCATAGGTGGAACTGATAGTGAGTCATAACTGCTTAATAATTTGCCACCCTAATACCAACAGTGGGAGAAGAGACCACATTTCTTCCTAGGGAATCAATTTTCTTTCTCCTCTCTATCAGCAGGAATGGAATATGCTTGTTCAGACCTCAACCATTGCTGGCAGCAGGCACCAACAAATTATATACAGGGTGTGTATGAAAATACAACCCCCCTGCCCCCCGGGAGTATTTGATATAATTCGTCTGCCGTCTTGGAAACAGGCTGACAAGAGGAAGGAGTGGCTCAAATAGTCTGAACAGGCTGCAGCAGACCATGGAGAATTGGTAACGACATCCTATTCTTGGAGACAGCCCCAAGAATGTCGAACACCAGATAGAAGGTTTCCTCCACTACTACTGAAGGTAAATTCAACGCAGATGTCATGCGATCCACCAGGTCACAGAACTGCAGAGCATCATCAGAAGGGGAAGCGGCAGAACCCACACCCCAGGTGCTCAACTGGTGGAACCTCAGGGTCATGGTCTGTGTCAGCAAGCTCTCTTTTAGAACACTAAATAAATAATAATAATAATTCTTCTTCTTCTTCTTATCTGGCACCACTGAGACACAGATGGATCCAAAGATTTCTCCACCACCAGTCCCTTTATAAATGAAACAGCTGTTCAGCCATAAAGGAGGATGTCATGTTGTGGGGCGTAATCCAGCCCAGTGAGAGGTTGTCTCACTGCCTGCCCCGTAACCGAGTGCCTTAAACGCTATTCTGCTGTGGCTCACAGCCTGTACCCTGCCAGCCAGCAGACAAGCATACACTGAATGTGTGTTAAGCAGGTTTGACTCAGTAACTATGATTGCAGCAACCTGGATGCTACAGCCCAGCCACACTCTGGCATACAGGAGCTCTGGTAATACCCAGTAGAGATGACCCCAACACTTCCCCCTCCCCGAATCTTCCCAAAAGCATGTGCTCTGCAATGTCCTTTCCTCGACTTTTCAGAGGAATAATAAGGTTTGTATGCTCCTATATAGAGACAAAGGACAGCTTATCACTTTAACTAGAGTTAACAATCACTAAATCAAAACTAGACCTGATTTTGTTTAGATTAAAAATAAAAACAAAATAAAAACAAAATAGGATATTAAGTGATATCAAGTATAAGTGATAGAATTAGAAATGGTTACAAGCAAATAAAAGTGAAAACACATTTTCTAGTGGCCAAGACCTAACACGACAAGCTACAGCCTTTGTTTTAAAACAAAAGCTCAGACTGTATGGAAACTGATGGCACTCGCCAAGTGAAAAATCCATTTGCAAGCCCTGTGTATACAACTATAAAATAAAATGCAACAATTTTTGTGTAATACAAACAGTTCTTACAAAAAGCACAGATCTATAAGTGTCTGATTAGTTCTCAGACTATGATAATATTTTCTAATACCCTTAGAAGTTTTGTATCTCTGCTTTTAAAAATAAATGCTACACTAGGCAATAACTAGTAAACTAGATCAATACAAAGGGGCAAGTGTAAGTAAGGACTTTAAAAGCCACCAGTGAAATTAAGTTTTTTTAAAAAGAGGCAAAGTTCAAGATCTGGAGGTAGTGCCTTTAAACTGGTTAGTTTTAAATTTGATTCTTATTGAAAAGCACCTCAAATACAACATGCTTTGCTAATCTTTCCGCACAAACACCTTAAAAATACTTAAGATAGTTTCTACATATTCTCCTCTCAACTCTCTGCCCCATGCAAGAGCTCCCTTGTGTGGGTTTTAAACAAGCTGTGCTTTCAGCTTCTGAAATTGATGAATTGATGAAGTCCTTTGACTTAATCCATTCTTTGAACAAAATCTTTTGCCACAGCTTGGTAGAACTGATATTAAATAATGGTAGTAAAATCTTGTTAAACTGCGCGACCTGAAAGTAAATGGATTCCTCTAGGGGTTAGAGAAGGTTACTCATCTTGTGCAGTAACTGAGGTTCTTTGAGATGTGTGTCCCTGTGGGTGCTCCACTTCAGGTGTCAGTGCGTCCCAGCGCTGCTGATCAGAGATTTTTGGTAGCAGTGCCTGGTAAGGATGCATGTGTGCAGTAGCTGTATTGCGGTACCACTGGCGCTTTATCTAGCGCTCATGCATCCCGACCTCCTCAGTTCCTTCTCTACGATAGAGTCCTTTCTGTGAACTGCAAAACAAAGGGGGATGAGGAGAGGGCGGGTAGTGGAGCACCGACAGGGAAACACATCTCAAAGAACCTCAGTTACTGCACCAGGTAA